TATATTCTGCGGTTTCTTCCTTTTCGAAATCTTTCCTTCTGGGATTATAAATTTTTAAACTTAAGTTGATCAAAAAAGTAATTCTTCTACAGAATATATAGATGCTTTGAACGGAATTTCACGTTGTCTACTCTGGTCAATGTATCCGACATTAAGATCCTATAGGGTCCTATGAGATCCTACAAATTCACGTCTTTGATGTATCTTATACTTTCCTGTCATAGGATATCAAAGAAATTCAGAAATATTTGAAATCAAAATATTCAGCCTTAAATCATCTGTTTATTTACTGCCAACTTTATTTATTTATTTATTTTTTGTCTTTTGAGTTCTTTCTTTTCCCGTCAGTGAATCAAGGCTGGCATGGACCAAAGAACACCTGAGTGACTCTTCTTGTTGGTGTTCACACTGTTCAGTGCAAAACATTGAGTTATTCAACTCGATTTTTTATTTTTTCCAGCGTCGTATTTATAGCTGTTTCTCTGAAAAACAAAACGGTGAACAGTTGACGTACCAAAAAATGACAGAACAGAAAAAGTAGGAATCCTATGAAAATCATCTGTAGGATCCTGCACAGAATCCGTTCACCTGGGTAACTGTGACGCTGTGGCATAAAGAGGCTCTAAATTCTTACTACTCATTAAAGTGCAAATTTCTGCGAATTTAGAAAAGCAAATAAAAAGTGCCTTGAGCAAAATTTATAGAGGAGCTAACAAGGTTTCTTTTACTAAAAAAAGTTTGTCAAAAAAAAAAGTTACATATATTCTGAGCTTTTCAGAAGAAAGTCGGACGGAATTATGAAATTTTTAATTTAGATTCTACAATTAATAGAAGGTTCCTAAAAGATTTAAAAGTCAAAACCTAACTCAGATTCTAGCAAAATTAGACAAAGCAGGTCAAATGACGTATATTTTAGAATTTTATTATAAATTCAGTCATAACTGTATTGTAACCAAAGTTAATGCTGAATTAAGTATGCATTACTATAGAATATCCTAAGTGATGAAGCAGCGGAATAGCAAAATAGTCCACGTGTGTCACTATCGGGAAGTGACGCTAATGTGACACGACATTACCGCAAGACTACCGCGAACCGCAATTATGTTGACATAGACCATAGAAATTTTTCCCCAGCTAGAGTACGGACAGAAAATTTTTCCTATGATCTATATCGACATCCGCTCATAGACTATGTCGACATAGACCATAAGTGGTAAATTTTTCACACATTGGTATGTTTGACAGTGTGTGGCGGGAGGTGAGGGCGGTATGAGTTCGAAAAGTAGTTCAGTTATCAGTACTCATTGCGTACTATGAAAAATTTGTCATATATGGTTTATGTCGACGTAGTGCATGAGCGGATGCCGACATAGAGGATACGAAAATTTTTCAATCCCTAATACAGCTGAGGTTAAAACTTCTATGGTCTACGTCGACATAATGGCGGTTCGTGGTAATGTCTCGCGGTAATATCGCTGTATCGAGGATAAGAGTAATATTGTTGAACTGAAATGGTATGTAACGCATTAGTAATTGCATTCTCTTACGGTATTTTTTTCTGTTAGAACAGTAAAATAGTAGCATAAGTGACAATTTCTAAGTTTTAGAAATTCGCCCAGTCATCTCTTAACAGTAGTGTTCTTCACTTATTTTACTTTTTGTAAATTTATTCTAGAAAAATTATATACTGATAATGGACATCTCTATGATCTGTCAGCGAGTTAGACATTTCATCCGTTCGTACAATGCGTTCGAAAGTATACTACCAACAAACGATGAGCACGAATTAAAAAATCAGATATATTCTACACAAATATTTGCCGTTTTCACGATTGTGTCTTTATTCATATTGATTCTCTATACTGGCTTGCAGACACAAAAATATACAGTCACGATCAATGATCCCACACTTGATATGTACAAGAATCTCAGTGAAAAATATGCTACTACGTTAACGTGTCCATGTTCAAAAATTTCCATCGACTATAATGACTTTATATGGATAAATTCAATTCGATTTCATCAAGCATGTACTAGCGGTGTAATTGTACCGATAATGACTGATTATCTTTTTAAAAATAATGAAATCCTATTAGGTACGCAGTTTAAATTGTTTGGTGAATTTTGTCGATTAGCAAAACAAACAATCGATGATGAGTTGGTATTATTCAATTCGACAAAATTTATAACATCCAATACATTGTCAGAAGTTATGTTAAATATTCAAGCTCAATCTATTATAAATTTCTTTTTAGATACTACAACGAGTACATTTGCACGTTCATTGAATTTGATTCGTTCAATGACACATGGTAGTCAACTTCTATCTGGTCTATTTACAAATTATATCGTCTCTCCCTGGACTACAATGACTTTTACATTTAGTACGGATTACGGTAACTGTCACTGTAATTTAGATGCAACTTGCTCTGAAGTTTACGATAGCTTTACCAGAACAGATGATAATCAATATATTCCGACGATTTATTTGCTAGGAACAGTAAAGGGTTGCTTTGTGGTTGAAGCATTACTAGCGTCAACATTCGAATGTTTCTATGATCAAACATGTTTACAAAC